GGGATCCGAACCCTCGGCGGGAGCGCCACCGCGCTTCCCAAGCGGCACACTATCGCAGTGCGCCACCGGGCCGGCCCCTAGCTTCACATTTTTATCATCAGCATGGCTGAACATCAGCCCTGGGGCTAAGGAATATCTCCTTTTATTAAAAAAATACGAGTAACATGTGTCTCTTCTTATATGCATATGTGTCTTTTCTTATATCTTGTATGCCTAAAATATTTCTGAGAGGAGACACAGGAAACTTAACAGTGGGAAACGGATAAGGGCCTGGGAAGCAGTGAGGGAGACTTGCTGTTCTCAATATGCCCTTTGGCCATCCATTTTCAGGTTATGTCACTACCTGCATCTACTGCTGCAAAAGTTTTGTTTCTAAATTGCAAAAATCAGAGCTGCTGTCTGTGCCCACTGCACAGTGGGGGGAGCACTGGAAGGGTCATGTGAGCTGACAGGTGTCAAGAGGCCAGGCGGGGCCTAAGGGAATGGGCTGGGAGGCCCAGGCGCCCACTGTGGCTGAGATCTGAATTTGTTTGCCAGCTGCCCAGCTGTGGAGACATGCAGACTGGGGAATTACGTAACCGTTGCTGGGAAATCCAGCCTGGGGTAGACGGTGGGGCGGGGGGAGACCCAAGACCCTTTGTCAATATGCCCAAAGAGGCCAGACTGTTTGCAGCCTGGGTAGACAGTCAAGCTGAAACTCCATCACCAGCCCTCCCAACTCAGCCTTGGAGCCAACAATAGCTCTGGGGCCCTCCCACAGCACCAGAGACCAGAAGAGAATCAGACCCAGAGGAGGCCCCAGCTCAGCCCTGGAAACACTGAAGGGTCTTTCTTTGAGGGTTTGGTTAAAAGGATCATAGTTCATCCAAACGATAAAACATTACACAGCCTCGAAAAAGACAGGTGTCTCTATATGTACTCACTATGGACTGAATAGTGTCCTTATTCCCCTCCCCCCCCCCCAAATATATGTTGAAGTCCTAACCCCCAGGACCTCAGAATGTGACCTTATTTGGAAATAGTCATTGCAGATTTAATTAGTTAAGATCAGGTCATACTGGAGTAGGGTGGACCCTCACCCCAGTATGACTGGTGTCCTTATAAAAAGGGGGTTTTGGACACAGACATGCACACAGAGAGAACACCATGTGAATATGAAGGCAGAGATAAGGTGATGCTTCTACAAGCCAAGAACGCCAAAGATGGCCAGCAAACCCGCAGAAGCCAGGGGAGGCATGGAACAGATTCCACCAGCATGAACCAACCCTGCCAGCACTTTGATTCCAGACTTGTGGCCTCCAGAACTGTGAGACAATAAATTTCTGTTACGAAAGGCACCCAGTTTCTTGTACTTTGTTACGGTAGCCAGAGCAAACTAATACAGGACTGAAACAGAACCATTGTCAAAACATGCTGTTTGGTGAAAAAAGGTGAGGGTAAAGAGCCCTCACGTGAGATGACAAGGTGTGTATGTGACACCAGGGCCACCCAGCCTGGAACAACCAGAGCAGACCCTGGGCCAGGGTACTGGGCCTCCCCTAGACCTTCACCCAGCCTCTTTCCAGTCTCTTCTGCTCCAGTATGTCCTTCACCTGGCACCCAAGGGATCTTTCTGCTCCCAGAGCTGACTTCCTCCATCCCCTGCTCCCAGCACTTCCGTGGCTCCTCAGTGCCTACGGGACAATGTTCCAGCCCCTTTGGCTGGCGTTTGAGACTCCACCTGCCTCTGCTGTTCCATCTCCTAACTCCCCTCTGTGACACCCTAGACTGAATCACTGCAGAACTTTCAATCCCTCATACATGTCACATCTTTCCTGCCACAGGGCCTTTGCACAGGCCTGGGAGGCTCTTCCCCAGTCTTTCCCTCTGCCTAGAATGTTCTTCCCCAATATCTCCAGTGCTCACTCCCTCACTTCCTCCAGGCCTTTGCTCAAATATCTTCACCTCAGTACACCCTTCCCTGGTCCCCTGCTTAAAGCTGTATCCCCTGCTTCCCCCATCACCTTCTAACAGACCACATAATCCCTTATTCGTTTGGTTTACGGTTCTCGTTTAGTCATTCTTCCTGAGGCAGGGATGTCTGTCCATCTCAT